CTCATAACACTTATTTGCTAGTTATATCTTAACTAAGATATAACGCGCGCTCTGTATGGAGCACTCTCGTGACGTCAATTTGGTGAAATTCGGTGAAAATTGCAAGCAAAAATTGGTGGTGGAGTTCTCATTGATTTGAATGCTTCAATTCTCTTCAGATCAGCAGTGATGAACTCACAACAGCTTCCAATCAAAAGACCGCCTACTCACCTCCTRTTATCTTCCTCCTGATTCTGATACAAATTGGATAGACAAATTCAATTCCTTTCTTGATCACGTATGTGGCCGCTACAAGAAGTTGTTGATGTCTGGAGATTTCAATTTTCCAAATAGATCTTGGGATACTGCAACAATGCCAAATGAAGTGCCCTTCATCGAAAGTCTAAATGACCACTTCTTGGCTCAGATCAACAAAACCACTACTCGTGGCACGGTTGGCGTGCGCTGCTAATGCGCCGCCTCTCACCAATGCGGCCCGAGTTCGAGTCCTGCCGATCTCGATGTCGAATGTGAGTAGAGTTGTTTGTTGGTTCTCTCCGGTTTTCYTCCCTCCTCAAAAATCAACTCCTAAATTCTAATTCGATCTTTGGGCTTCCACTTAGTTTGGAGCCTAGCTCTGTTGTGATTGTCCCACGCTGTGATATTGTGGATTTTTTTTTTTTTTTTATTATTATTTTTTATATATGTAGATTTTTTTAACATCCTGAACCTGTTAATCACAAGCGTACCAGATCAAGTCAGCGTAACAGAGGGGATATATGCTGAGATATTTACAGATAATGATGTCATCTCCTTCAACTACCTGACTCTCATATCAAAGCTCCATCGAAAATACAGAGACATGTTTACTGCTACAGACAAGCGGATTTTAAAAGCCTGCTGCATGCAGCCCTTTAAATTATAAATCTGTCATCTTTGGTAGAACATGATAATATTAATGACGACTGGCATCGCTGGAAAAAACACCTTTCTGGAAACGGTATCCAATCACTCCATAGGATCAACACTAAAGAGTAACTTATAGCGTTTCTGGTCAGTAATGAAATAAAAACCTCAAAACCGCAACATTCCTGGTGTGATCTCTAYATGTTATCAAGCAGCGACAGATGGATCCTCAGAACGTAGATCTACTTCAGATAACTCTTTGGAGACAGCAAACATTTTCAAATCCTATTTTGCTTCAGTGTTCACACTTGACAACCCTGGTCCTATTAAGACTAAATTAACCTTGGAAGTCAAAGAGGTCCAAATTATACATGAAAGCCTAGACACCACTAAAGCAACAGGACCTGACGCACCATCACTTTGTAAGCTGTTTAATAAATCTCTTAGCACAGGACCTCCAGAAGTGGAAGGAAGCAAACATCGTGCCCGTTTTCAAGAAAGGTTATGCAGAGTTTACAGAGAACTACAGACCAATTTCATTACCGTCGCAGATCTGGAAAGTGCTGGAAAGATGTGACGTCACATATGAAGATATCACCGTTGCCATGACTACGTTCTTAACAACCAATCACATTTAGGCCTTCCATCGCTTAGATTTAAAAAATCAAGCAAAAGATATCATACATTAATATAAATGATGATGCATCTTCAGTGACTTACCTACTAGATGGGATCCCTAACCCGCGTGYCTTGCTGACAACCATTAAATGATTTCAGACACGGCAATCTTCATTCATGAAATCATCCCTCTTCACACACCTGTTGCTTTATGCTGGATTTAATGAGGTTTCTGGTGGCAAGAATTTCATTTCTACACCTGCCTTATGACGTGTAAGCTTTCTTAATTAAAATGAATCAGCAAAATATATTCACATCAGTTTGTCATCTGAGGTAGAAGGGTTCAGGTGAGTAAAGATTTTCTATCGCAATTTTGGAAACAAAACTTTATTCTTCGTGCTTTTCTTTTTTTCTTTTTCTTTTTCATAAGTTCCAATTAGTATTTCTATATCCTCTTTTTCGTTTTTATATTGGTATTATTATTTTGATTGGTCTATTGATCAGTTGGTTATTTTTACGTACATGACAATCGCAAGACATCAATGTTACGTGTACATATTCTCCTTCTTAAAGGTTATTGCTTTTTTATGTTGCTTGTCTGGCTTCGAACAGCGCAGAGGAATTCTTGTGATAGTAATAAATATAGACAGACAACTAATACCTGCATGACGCAAAGCATATTGTGAGATAAAAGTTTCACTTTTTTCAGTACCCTGATATACATGGACTGCCAATCTCAAAAAAATTATTTGTGAGTCACACATAAAATGATCGCATATTACTTTGAATATGGTAGATTTACTTCTCAACTCAATCATGAAGTTAAAGAGATAAATTAATCAAACAAACAACGTTTAAACGGGTTTACAAAAAGAACACTTCGCTGGCGAGCGGCAGTGTTGAAAGAAATGTTTTTTTTAATGGCTAAGAATTTTCAAAATTGGGAACTGATGAATCATAACTACTTTGCTTTTTCGTCAAATGCAAAAACATATACATTTCGGTTCAGTGATTTTTTTATCCATATTCTTTTTCGCTTCAGTCGCATAGGCTTGAGCCGGTCGACGACAACGTTTTTTTGAATTGACTATATTGGCTATTTAAAAAAAGGTCGAATGGGGAGATAGGTAATAACCTCAACTCACATGTTGATATCTTTTACCAAAACCCAAACCAATAGCTGCTGCTAAATAGAAGGCATTAGGTTGTCTGTAACTACTTTAGATAGATACTTAGATAGGAAAACTTTACTTACCCTCGGTTTTACGTGAAGCTCGTTAGGCCTCTAACATATGTTGCCTAGTTATCCGACAATATACAGTCAATGTCATTAACGTTGTCCACCGAAAAAAGACATTTACACTTTAGACATTTAGACTTAAAGAAATATCTATAAATATGTATTCTTTGCCTCGTGTGCGTCAGCCGTAACTTTAAATGTAAAATTCAACTCGTGAATCGAAAATCCAGAATGCCCCCGACCATTTAGTGAGGATTTAAGATGGAGAATGGTATTTCAGCGTT